CCTATAGCGGAATCAGCCGATACTTACTTTAAATGTAAATATCTGCATCGGCCTGATATGAAAAATTATGCCAGATATGTCTTGCCAATAAGAGGAATACCTTAACTCACATGTGCTCAGATGTGCTAGCAATTAGATCACGTCAACAGTGTGGCTCATTCTTGAAGCAAAGTTTTGCCTGAATGGTGATTAGATTCACTGTTTTGGATCGCTGCATTTTAACTGAGAATGCACGTAACTGTACAGAATGATGCCTTTGGTGTATAATAGAGTAAACCGTAATAGCACGTGCAGCCACAGCCTCCCCCGGGTCCTAATGCCCGTTCGGTAAGGAGTTTTAATTCCGTAGGGGGCGCTGTTGGCCTACTTCTAATAAAATGAAAGTAAAATACACAAATAATATTTAGACTGTGTTTCTGGTTAAATAACGCAGTAATTGATGTCATGAAATCATGAGTATGTTTTGATTTAAAGGTCAGAAGCTATAGCTTACACGAATAATAAAACAAAATCACTTGTAAATTAAATAATTTTATATATACTGATTTATTAATTAATGTGTAATATGTTATATTTTTTAAACACATTATGAGCTCTAAAAGATTTTCTGAATTTTTACAACTCTTTTGCTTTAGACCATCTACAAATGTTAAATCTTAAAATAAAATGTTAAGGTTACTACTGCATCTTTCTGAAAAAAAAATGCAGCGATTGATATATAGTTTATTTATAGTTATTTTCAAAGCTTCAATGTACTGTCATTATAAAAGAACTTCATTATTGTTTATTTCATTCTAACAAATACGTTCTTGTTAAAAACTAACCAAAATTAAAAATAATTTGCTTACAATTTCCACACAGGAGAGACTTGGGACCAATCCCAATTCTAACCCTTAGCCCTTCCCCTTTCCCCTGTCTCGATTCTCTTTTGGTTGGAGGGGTAGGGGAAGGGCCAGATAGCCCTTCAAACGAAGATTTTTCGGGACTACACTTCAAACGAAGGGATATGAATTATCTCAGCGTAAACTGGCTTCAGGGGCAACATGGCTGCCCGAGCGAACAAAAAGACAAATAAATGTAAGCATTTTTGGCATTAATAAAGATTTTAACGAAAAGTAATCATTTGTTTTATGTTACATTCAATTGTGAGTTCATATTTACGGTCATGTTACTCAAAGAAATGTTTGCAAAAAATCGCTAATATTTGCTAACTAACGTCATATCATTATAGACTGCACGATAGTGCCACAACATATTTTCATGTCTGATCAGGGCGATAACCACCGTAGACATTGAGGGGGGCTAGTCCCCCCAATAATTAGAAATCGCTAAACCCTTTTCTCAAATTTGCCAATTCGAGAGAGAGAGAGAGAGAGAGAGAGAGAGAGAGAGAGAGAGAGA